GCGACCCCGCGCCCGCCCGCGCGTGCGCCTGCTCGCTCCCACGCTCGGGCAAAGTTTGGTGGAGGAAGGCAGGCAGTCCTCCTGGGGGAGGACGGCAGCCCCCATCCCTCGACCACTCCAGAGGTGGCCTGGCCTGGAAGCTGGGGTGGGCCTAGGGAGGATGGGGGCTGGGGAGGGGGAGAAAGGGTGGCTTTGAACGCGGATCCCAAAGAAAACAGGGCTGCGGGTGTTGGTGCGTGCAGCACAGTTGGAGACAGAGATGGAGAGAGGGTGATTTTTAAATTACATGTATATATATATATATATATATATATATGTTACTTTTTAACTCTCACCGAAATAGATCTGCCTGTGGGCATGCACACGCACGCGCACGCGCACACGCGGGTATTGGAGAGAGCTGAAAAGTTCAGTCTTGGAAGTTGGAGAGCGGTGTTTCTCCATCTCTCCTGGCCACCCCTTGGGTTAACCCTTCCTTTGTAGTCCTGTAATTAACCGCCCGGAGGTCATCATCCCAAGTCCTGGAGATTCAGTATGCTCCCAGAGCTCCGAGGGTTTCAGTGTGTTTGTGTGAGGTTACTCTCCTAGGAAGTAAAAGAGGAGGAGAAAAGGAGAAGAAGGGGGGTGGGTAGCAACGTAAATGGTACCAGAAGGTTTCCTTTATTTCAGGGCAGTTCTGGATAATTTTTTTCCTACTGTTTGAAAAGAGAATTTCCTTTTTTTTTCTTTTTTTTTCCCCCTTGTCTCTTTAGTGTGATGAGAGTCTGGCAACAGCTCCCACTCTCCCAGCAAAAACCCAGTGTCACTATAGGTTTGAAATGACATTTAAATGACTCAGCTTCTTCCTTGAATCTAAAACGGATCATCTGCTTCTTTTCCTCCTTCTCAGTCCACCTCTAAGAGACTTTCACCGGAATTCCTGCAAACCCCTAGCCTGGAGCTAGCTTTGAATTGTTTGTGGTATTATCTGTGGCTCCTTTGAAAGGAAGAAGACCTTTGCAATTCTTTTTTTTTCCCCCCTATTTTTAGTATCTAACAATATGCTAGATGCATTGTAGCTGATCGTTAACTCTTAAGGTATGGTCAACCTGAAATCTTTCCAATATCCTCATTAGCTTTTTTTTTTTTGGCTTCCTATTTAAATTTTCCACAATGTCCTTTTATAATGCTTACCTCTATATCATGTGTCATGCCCTGGGAAACTTAAATTCCTTTTGCGGACATTTCCAAAGGCAGGATATCAATTCAAAAATGAAATTTGAACCCTTAGGATTACTCTTATTAATGTCATTGATTTATATTCCTCTATTCATTTCAGAGCTCCAAACCTTTAATATTTATTAACCTATATGTCCTTCTAGACTTCAGCTAAAAGGTATCTTATGTAACTTCTAGAAAGAGAAAGAAGAAGCCATAGTCACACTTTCACACAAAGCAAGTAACTGTCCTAGAAGAAGAATTCTTCCCACCTACGAATTTTCTCTGTAAAGTGTGTTGTTAAGAGATATTCATGGATAACATTAATTTATTAAATGTCACAGTGTTAATATCTCATTATCAATAAGATGAATTTGTGTTCAACTTGCCTATTACTATCACTATCACTCATTTTTATGCATTTGGATTGCAAGACTGCTATCTGCATTCCAAACATCTAGAAATAATACCATTGGTACTGGTACAGGAATGAGATTCCAAGACATAAGTTCAAGTTCAATTCTCTCTCTAGCTTGCTTTCCATTCTACAGAAGCAAGAGGAAGATGAAACTAATATTCATAACATACATAAAGCACACACTTTTAAGTTGCTGCAAATCTATATAGGAAGATGCATTCCATTAATTTCAGCAAGAGAAGAGGAAGGTGTGTGTGTGTGTGTGTGTGTGTGTGTGTGTGATTAACTTTAAATAGAAGTCAGCGCTCTTGTGTCGCTCAGGTTTCTTGTTTTTAAAATTGTTACTATAGCCTTTCTTTAGCATTACTGCAGGATGTTTCTTGGAGGCCTTATATGCTTTGCTAACATTTAACTCTTAAGTTTTAATTCCTTCTAAATGATGATGCTCCCAAATGAGTTCAGTTTCCCTTTGACTGCTACAGGCAGTCCCGAGAAAACTTTCTGTGGTGCCTCTTATCACCACATGAGGTCTCCAGAAAGCCTGACCTGCATTAAGTAGTGGAATCCACTACAATCCACATTCAACTCTTCCGTTTTTCTCAAGAAGCAATCCTGTTGGTGAAATAATTTAGGAGGAAAATAGGGGGCACTTAAAAACACACCAGGAAAAGAAAAAAAAATCCAAATTTGTGGTGTGGGAGGAAAGCAGTTGTGAAGGTGTCATCATATGCTGGAATTAAGGGAAGAGTAATAATCTTTTTAAAAGTACATAGGCATGAAAGTTCCAGTGCTTCCTCTCTTTTTAACAAAGGTTGGTAACAGGGAGAACAAGAACTGATCAAATTTCTGAAAGTGACGGAGTAAATAAATCTTTAGGTTCAACTGCATTCATGATATACTGTTCCCTTTTGTGGCAAATTGTTTTATTTGGATTTTGTAATTTTCCTCACAGTGTCATCTATTGGGGATGTACATATGGAAGCATAATTCTACAGAAATCAGCACAGTGGCTAAGTGTTTTCCTTCTCACTCACACAGATACTAGTTCTTGAATGACAGGACTTTAATCATAACTTGAGCGCTCTGGCCTTAAACCTCAATTGTTTTTCATTCATTTAGATGTATTTGTGGATCTCTTGAAACGATGGGGGTTGGGTGCAGAATCAAGGTATCCATATTTCCTTGAGAGCTGTCACCTTCCTATAACAGGCATTCCCATTTCTCCGTACATAATGTTTATGATCATCCTAGGGACCAGTGGAGAGATGGGGTTTATGGCACCATCTCTGGCAGGTTACAAAGACTAAGCCTGCTTCTGGAAAAGGATTCAGTCTTGAGAAGGTCCTCTATCACAATTGTTTGCA